GATTGGATGGGGGCGGAATGATGGGGGGAGGGGTTGGAATTATCCACCTTTTCAAGACTGATGATCATAAAAAGCATAAAAAGCTAGCTATATTCTATAAGCCTTTGATTTCTCTTTAAGACACCTAGATTATTTAGAGCCTAACGCAATGCCATCTTGTCCGATTCGTCATTTCTTAGTGTGCCTGTGAAGTACACTATACTGGACCAGCGACCGCAAACTCAGAATTAAGAAACACCAAGGTAATGGCTTCAAGATATGAACATAGTTGGTTAAGATTTCTTCAATAAAGTTGCTTTCATAACCATGTAAAGGTATTTTACCACTTTGTTCTTAGTGCAATATGTACGTTCTTCACCCCGCACAAGTGAGATGGGTGGTTGGCGGGTGCTCTGGTGTGGTGTGCTTCTTCTTTCCTATCAAACATCTACCATCTTTATCTCCCCTCCTTCTTTTTTGTGTTTGTTACTTTCTTGTAACTCCTCTAATCTTCGGCACTTATATGATCTCAGTGTGTTGCAAGTACCGTAAACCTCTTACTAAAACAAAATAAAACAAAGCACAAGTGAGTGCGATTCCCATGTATTTGTAGGGAAGTTGTCACAAGAGTCTCCGTCTTTCAGAAGAGCAGTACCTCAAAGAGTTCAGGTTAGTTATGTCCGGCAGGATGGAAGCAGTCTGAATCCTAAATGATTACAGTTGTGTTGGCACAGGCATTCGACAGTTACGTCTTGTTACGACAAAGGTCTTTATTTCAAGTCTTGCTTTGACACAGATAATGAAATAGGGGGAAATATTCAGGTATCTAGTTTCTCTATTGTTTATCTGACTTGTGTCAGTGGTTAAAAGTGGGTGGTTGGCGGGTGCTCTGGTGTGGTTTGCTCCTACTTTCCTATCAAACATCTATCGTCCTTATCTCTCCTTCTTTTTTATGTTTATTACTCTCTTGTAACACCTCTAATGTTCTGGCGCTCATATGACCTTATGCAGTTTCGAGCGTCGTAAAACCTCCACTAAAACTAAAAAGTGGTTAAATAGTTAGGCTCTTTGCCGTTGCTCACAGGAGACATCAGTTCAATCACCTCCAGGAAGTTAATTCTATCAAACGTGTCCGTGTTGGCTCTGACAAGCTGAGTCGAAACTGCTCGCCCCCTCAATCTTACCACGTTGTTAGGGGTCAAGAACATTTAATTTTGTAATGAACGAATTAAAAAAACCAATGTCCTATCGATTCGAGCAGGCTTGAAAAGGAGGACCAGTCTTCATTCTTCGAAACGGTAAACTATTAAAAAAACAAAATTATGTTTACCTGCTTGTGTTTTTTTGCGGTCCTGTTCAGCCAAGAAAAATTTCCATCTCGGATAATAAAGTATTATCTATCTTATCTATCTTATTCTTTATCAAATGTAATGTTTGACTCAACACAAGCAAATCGGATCTCAGTTGTTCATAAAAATGTCGAGCAACGTAAAGTGATCTTTTTTTTCTTTTTTTTTTTTACAAAGTGTGAATACTTGGAAATGTCCTTGAATACGACACGTCTAACCAAACCTCTTTTTTAAAAAGTGTTTTACGACGCACCAAACATTTTCAGTTTTTAGAAAATTTTGAATTTTGCTCGGATGGTGGCCGAAGCCAACTCTTATCGATTTTGAACCACCAAGGGATCTTTTTCGCCATTGTCCGAGAAGGGTATCTGTAGATCCTACCCACCATAAGATCAGGGGTGTAGCTGAAAGACAGCTGTATGAAGGAGTCAAGGAGAAGCAGTAGAAAGGCTGCAGAAAGAGTCAGGAGCCCAGAGGAGGGGGAAAAAGAGGTGAGGAGGTGGGGGCAGAAAGGAGAGACAAAGGCAGACGACATAACATTGTTAAAGAGTAGGAAGGGATGTGAAAGGGAAGAAAATAGAGAAAACAGTTTCCGTCGCAATCCGGATTCGAACCCGGGAGCTATTGAATGAGAGGGGAACACCTTAACCTCTAGGCCACAAGAGCCCCCACCAAACCTCTTAACAAGGACGTAATATTTTTGGAGCTTATTTGTATTATGGTTTTTGTACTAAGAGCCAAGTTTCTATATATATAAGCATAAGTAAAACTGTCATTTGTTTTGGTTGTTTACTAGGAAATCGAAATATAATAATAAGCTGAAGTTCGAATTCAACAGATCCTGAGACGCAAGCATTGCAGTCCGGCCATAAAATTCTCCCTATTTTCACTGATGCTTGTATGGACATTTGGTTCTCAATAGCATAATAACATGACAATCATATGACAAAAATATTACGAAATAAGCTCAAATAATATCACGTCTCTCTGGACAAGCTGTTGGAGTACCCGCTCCCCGAGACTGCCATTCCTGTTTTGCCATGAAAGTTGCACCATTTTGTTGCGTGTAAAAAAATTCTGTTATTTTTTTTCTTTTTTTCTTCATTAAATTTTTTGTCTTGATTAAGATAGGGGTGAAACGTTGATTTTTTTTAGTATGTTCTTTTTATCACATTAATATACGTGTATTTTAAAAAATCACTCTTACGTTGTTTTTCTGCAGGAGTATAAAAATGAAAGCATAACATAATTTTTAAAATCACTCTGCAGGAGCAACCACACTTGAATTACTTCCGATTCACTGGATTAGAAAAAATGAAATAGATAAACAGTTTTTTTTCAAGGTCTGCGATGTAAGTTGGGAGGACAACATCAAGGAGTGGACAGGCCTGGAACTCAAAGACGCGCCCAGGAAGGCTGAAGACCGGAAGGAGTGAAGGAAGCTGGTGGTCAAATCTTCAAAAGCGCCCCGACGGACATCCATTTTACGGGATAGGTGAAGGTGAAGGAAGTGAAGCGATGTAAAAAGTCAACTTAGGTACAAATGGCTAAAATTTGTCATGACAAACTTGAAGAAAGACGTGATCGACAGTGTTTTAATGTCTCAAGGTCTCCTTAATAAACAATCAAATCTCTCGCAAATAACTGAGTTGAAGGGAGAAAGGTGTGATTTGAATAAGAACTTTACGGTAACTGTTTCCGAGTCTGAGCTGGTTGTCATCTTTTGAGTCACTTTCCTGGTTAAGATAAGGTAAGATACTTCTTTGTTGCCCAGATCCTTGCACATTGGTTCGGTGCTTCACCACGTACATACACACACATACATACACGTACACATACATACACACACATACACAAACGCACGCACGTACACAAAAACATACGCACTTAAACACACACATACGCACACTGTCACATTGTGTCTATTTGGTTTGCTTTTCAGGAAATCCCTTTCATTTCATTTTTTTTCTTTGAGTTTGACTGTGTTGGTGTTGTGCAAGCTGAGGTATTATCTTATGTTGAAAGTGTTACTCCATTACCTTTTTCGAGGAACCCAAACCCATTAGACCATGGTTCCAAATATGAGTGTAAAACCACAGCAGTAGAAGTTGTAGCAGCAGCACTTGATAGATGAAAATGATGAGAAAGCTAGTAAAAATGTCTAGAGATAGTTAGCTTCTAATGCACACACATTTGATTCCAGGCAGACATGTGCATAAATAAAAATAATTCATAACAAATAATGAGTGACATGGAATAACATCAAGAAGCTAGCCCAGGATAGAGAAAGGGGGAAGGTGTTTGTCCGTGGCCTATATCCTGGTGCAGGGTGAGAAAGACAATGATGATGATGATGATGATGATGATGATGAATGGAGTGTTGGAAAGAACTGGAATTGGAGATATCAACACGACTAGAAAAAATAAAAAAGGGAAGATGGAAATATTTATGACATGTTCTAAGAACGCCGAAGACAAGATTGCCCTACCAGATATGGTATTGGAGACCAAGTGGAAACAGAAAAAAGAGGTAGACCAACTGAAAGTTACAGAGGCTCAGTTAGGGATGAGGCAATCACCAAGGGCTTAGATGTGCCAAGATTGGAGGAGTTGACCAGGGACAGGCAATCGTGGTGCCGACTGCTCTCCACCTTATGTGCCTGGCGGTATAGGAAGAGAGTAAGTAAGTAAGACATGCGTTTTGGATGTAAACGTTTTACATCCCCATCAAGACAGTTTAGGGCGTTTGATAATGAAAGATAATGTTATTTATATAGCACATCAACAACAAGCTCTGCGCGCCTTACAGTGCAAATATTACCCCCAGCCTGGCCTAGAATACTCACCATATTATATTATCGGCTTCCAGGGAAACAGAATGATAGTGCCATCGAGGTGGCATGTCTCGATCCTGGCCTGTAAAGACCCCCATCCCCCATAGTTGAAAGTATTACATCTGAGAGACAGGGAATACACTTCCCCTGCAGGATTCGAACAGATTTCATTTGCATGAAGCCAGGGGCGAAGGCTGACTTGTTTGACAGGGTAATCAAAGTGAAATGGGACCAGATATGGCCTGTAGATATCACACAAGAATCTTACTCGAGGCGGCGACTCTGAGTTGTGAATGAAAACAAATCCGGAATTCATATTGTATGTTCAACCGCCAAAATAATCGGGAAAGTATCTTATTAAATATCAGTTCCCACTAAAATTAAACTTAACTTTAGATGTGAATACATAAACACAAAGCAAATAAGCAGAGATGTCAGTACTAGATCTATATGTTATAGATCTACCAGTGAGTCTAACTCTTTGGTAGAACATGACAATTATTATTTTTTAAATTTCACATTTGGCTGTTTTTGTTAGCCTTTCGCGGCCAGGAGCTGGTGTCATAATCGAGGTCACGATCTGATTATAGGACGGTAAAAAGTCGAGGAAAAAAAACAAGCTCAAGCAGCAGTCAAGAGATTATTAAGAGTTAGTTCCCCTCACATTTGTGAGGTAGACTCGACCAGTGTTAGTTAGCTTACTTAATCAGGGCTTGTGATTGATTTTAACTGTGGCCCCAAAGGGGTGAACACGGTATATGTGGCAATGAAACAGCTTTGACTGCCATGCACATGTTCCCTTCAACTCTATTCCAGCCTCACTTTAAGCTTACTTAATCAAAGCTTGCGACTGCTTATGGAGTGGCCCGAGAGGGGTGAGGAGGCTATTTCTGTGGCCGTGAAACCGTTTTGAATGTTAGGCATACTGTTCGTTGTTGGTTACGGACGTCTTTTTACATTTAATTTATGAGGTTTACGTTTAAGGATGAATTTGACAGCGACAATGTTTCAAAATTAGAAAGGGAAGCAGTGATTATTTGATTATATAGACGCTTCGCCCCTGCATGAAGCAGCAAAAAATTAAATCGTTTGGCCACAGGCGACGATCTGTATGATACCATCGTTTGACGTACAATCTTGTCTCTTATGCCTTTCATTTCACCTGAAGTTAACGTTTGTACAGAAAATCTAAATACATGTACAAAAATGCTTTCAGATAGAACGGCAATTAATTTCCTGAGCAAAAATCGCAAAAGATATGCCAGTGTCTGACTTCTTCTGCTCGCGTAGATTTGTCATCCGTTGGGTCGCCTCTGACAGAAGACAACAAATCTCCTCCACTCCTCTCGGCTCTCTACTTTCCTCAGTGTGTCCCGCAGCTCCATGGCTGTCCATTCTCGGATGTTATCCTCCCGTCTCTTCTTCTATCTGCCTGTCTTTCGTCCTCCCTGCAGGGTGCCTTGTAGAATGCTTTTAGCAAGTCTTGAAGAAAAGGTGACATGGCCGTAAAAAAACACGAAATGTGTTGGTGAGTTCGAGATTGCTGAGTGTTAGCCTATTTCAAAAGGAATTCGAGTTCAAAATCGAACGGTACCATAATCATGAAAATCAGTAGAATTGTTCTATCCCTTTTTTAAAAGAACATTTACACTCTGTTCCGTGAAAAGTCGAGGAGCAGAACGAGCCGCTTTTTCTTTTACTTTTTACGCAATAGAGAAAACACAACAAAAGAAGCAAATGCAAAAACAAAAATAAAAAGATAAAAGAACACTCAGATAACACGTTGTGAGTAAAATAAATGTTTTTTACAACTTGTTTAATTCATAGATAGGCATTAATATAACATAATTAATGGATTCTAAAGAATGAAAGTAAACCAGTTGTTCCACGTTGCCCATAATTGTCCTGGTGCTTAACACTAATTTTGGAGAAAAAAAACAAACCAAACAAAAAACAAAAACCCCTCTCTTTACGCGTTAATTATGTACAAATGCATGCATGTTTTTAAAAGGCTGATAGGCGTAAAACGATCTATGTCTGTAATAATAATATGTGTATAACCTACATGCTCTTGGCCATTCTATTAAACCATTCTTTTAGTCCAACAGTTATGGATTCCTCGTAAACGTAGCTTTAACGATTACAATTCAAACCAAATAAGTCTTCATGGAAGAAAACAGTAACGAGGAACATCTGAGAATGCCTTCAGGTGATAGAAGCTTTGGGCTCATTACGGTGAATGGCCATCATGACGTCATCATCTTGACGAACTCTGAAGTACAAAGATGTAATATTATAAATATATCAGTAAACACTAGTATAGATAAATATTTTATAGACATGTGTATATCGCACACAGAAATGTGGTTTCTTAGGAGAATGCTAAGAGTATCGTGGAAGGAAAAGAAATCAAATGAGGTAGTGCTTGATGAAGCCAACGTGGGACTCTCAATGTTAAAAACAATCAGGAAACAACAAATGCAGTTTTTGGGACTCCTGAATAGACATAAGTGTCTTGAACATCTAAGCTCTCACTGGCAAAATTGAAGGCAAACGAGGCAGGGGTAGGCCCCCAAAAATCTACTTGGGGAACGTAAACAAATGGGTACCAAGGAAAGATCAGGGAAACGTAGCTTTTTCTAGAGCATCCGAGCAAAGGAATGAATGGAGAAACATGATCGCCAATGTCTGTCGCAGATCTGGCACTGGATGATGATGATGATAATGATGATGATGATGATATATCGCACATACACACACACACACATACACACACACACACACACACACACACACACACACACACACACACACACACACTCACACACTCACACACACACATTTTTTCAAAAAATTAAATGCTCTTGCACAATGAAAAGATGATAATGCAGTTCACCCGTGTACAACGTGCCTTTTCAGTTTAGACGTATCAGCAAACAAAATCTCCCAAATCAACCCGCACATTATTTGCACAGGAATACGGAATGAATATCTGCAACAAACATAATCTTCGAAGATAGATAGATATATAGATAGATAGATAGATAGATAGATAGAGAGAGAGAGAGAGAGAGAGAGAGAGAGAGAGAGAGAGAGAGAGAGAGAGCGAAAGAGTTCTCCCGAGCAGTGTAAACGGTTTATCACCCAGTGCAGAAGAGCTCTGGCGTCAATTTCAATCAGCGTGTGATTTGCTCGAAATTAGGGGTATCTCCAAGATATCTTGTAACTTTGTTTGTGGCAGTCGTATTTTCTTGTTAGTAATGCATAATAAACCCAGATGAGTGATCCATGTTTGAGAGAGAGAGAGAGAGAGAGAGAGAGAGATGGAAGGGTGAAGCCTATACAGAATTTTTAAAAACACCTTTTGTCACCAGAAATTATTCATTCTATTCATTTCCTATAATATCTCAACTTACCGTCATAGTTGACCTGTCCGTCTCCGTCGACATCCGCCTCCCGGATCATCTCATCCACTTCCTCGTCCGTCAACTTCTCACCCAGATTCGTCATCACGTGACGCAACTCGGCGGCAGAAATGAAACCGTTACCGTCCTTGTCGAAGACTCGGAAGGCTTCTCTGATCTCCTCTTCTGAGTCTGTTTCTTTCATTTTTCTGGCCATCATAGTGAGGAACTCGGGGAAGTCGATGGTGCCGTTGCCTGAAAATGTGTGTCACAGATAAAGCTGGTCAATCAAAAATATTGTTCAGATAACTTGTTTGTGGTCATCACTGCTATACAGATCTGGAAAATGGTGAAATGGTGTGGGTTTAACTTCCCTCTCAACACTATTAGATTATTTAAGAGGCGGGGCCTCCTAGTTTAACGTCCGTTTCCGAAAGGACCGAGCCAAATGGGAAATTCGTGTAAAGTGTCTTTCCCAAGGACACAACGTCGGACCGAGCTGAGGCTCGAACCCTCAAACCCGCAATCTCACGATTACGAGTCCGGTAGCCTAACCACTAGGCTACCGACGCCACTCTATACGGCTGTGAATGATGGACAATTACCAAAGACAATGAAATTGAAGCTTCAGAAATGTGGTTTCTTAGTAGGCTTTTGAAAATTTTATGGCGAAAAATGTAGTTTCTTGAACACTTGACTCGACATAAAGACTTTGAACATCTTGCGCTCATTTGAAAAAAAAGTAGGCAAACGAGGCAGGCGTAGACCATGAGAAACGTTTTTGGAAAACCTGAACAAATTGGCGACAAGGAAACATCAGGGTTATACATACCTTTTGAGAACAGCCGGGAAATGAATGGAGAACCATGATCACGCGATATAATTATGTTTCAGATCTGGCACCGTGTGATGACGATGGTAATGATACTTGAAAGACAAGTCAAAGATCTGATGAACTCCTTATTCAAGGGGAAGCTGTTGAATGCCGACAGGATCTCGACTCGAAGGGAACGCGGGGTAGGGGTCGGGTGGTTGCTGGGTTTGGAGGATTGGAGGGGAGTTGGGAGGGAGAGGGTGGAGGTTGAAATGTATCTGTTTGAAATACGGCGTGTGTATTTGAAGTGATAAAACGTCAGAAAAAAGCTCACCGTCAGCGTCCACCTCGTTGATCATGTCCTGTAGCTCGGCCTCTGTGGGGTTCTGTCCCAGGGATCTCATGACTGTGCCCAGCTCTTTGGTGGTGATGGTGCCGTCACCATCTTTGTCGAACAGGCTGAACGCCTCTTTGAACTCTGGGAACAAAATCAGAATTCCATTCACGTAAAGTGGGTATTGTTTTATGGTTGAAGAATAACTTCTTTGCTTGAGAACGTTGTTCATACCATGCCTATGAAACAATACATTTTATGTATGGGTGTTAAGCTCAGATGTTGGTTTGGCGACAAAGACTAAAGAAAAAAAATATCAGTTGAATAAATTGCAGTAACGTGAAGAAAAGCTCTCTGTAATAAGTTTCCTTTTCATACTGTCCGTATGCTATGGGATAATTGCAATGTCAATAAACGCAGTTGTTTGGAAGTGGTGCTGTTAAAGTTTAAAGAGCGCAAGAGCTTCGTACAGTCGCATACTATGTCCTTGTACAGTCACACCACTTTGCAACAACGCCTCGGGCCAGCCTGTTATGCCAAACATGTGTACCAATCCACACTGAGTAGTGTCCTGCTGAGAGACTCCGATGATTTATTATCAACAAGGTAAAGAGAGGAAAATTATAGTGTACAGTATTCTAAGGACACAGTGTCCTACTCGACATAGCCAAAAGTCAAACTTACTTTATTTGGCGAGTCTCGTCTTACCGGTCAATTCAGACGCCACTATTTCAGAATGGATACCTCGAAGCAAATACGCTCGTATTGTGCTATGTGCAACAGAGGGATTGCTCCTCTGGTGATATTATGATACCTTTCGATACTATTATAGTAGGGTAAAAAAATCGTGACGCAACTTATCCTCAAATATCTCTTTAACGGGTGAATCAATATCACCCATACTTGCACAGCAGCTTGTAACAATTTGTCTTACTTTTATTTTATTTTTCCACAGCAATGGAGGCTAGATTATAAAACTTTTCGTTAAAAATTAATATAAAATACTATAAATCTCCCCCGCGCGGAAAATGGGATTGCTCATAGCGTTTCCCGCTTCTCGCACACATTTTGTTAACGTAGGCTATATGGCCAACGTCACACCTCACCAATGCCACTTTTTATTGGCAAAACTTGTAACAAGAAACTTATTTTGTAGTGAGCAAAGCTTATGCACTAAAGGTTCTCAAAACATGCGTTCAATAAGCATAGTGTCGAGATTAGAAAAAAAAATGACAGACTTGCTCTTAAAAGTGACATTGCCCCAGCAGTGAACCTTTCAAAATCTGCAGAAACCACCCACTTGGATTTTTTATTAATATTTATTTAAGGAATATTCTAGAATACAACTAGCAGGTCTTGTTTACAAAAATATTGATCAGTTAAGACAAGTAATTGGGCAAAAGTTGGAGAACATATTATAATGTTTGTTAGTTGAGAAAATATTTGACGATAAGTAATACGTTGCGCCACGAATTTTTGACCGCAGTATAATACGCTAACGCTATCCTAGAAAGTGATTGGTCGGCCTTGAACTGAAATAGTCAGTCATTATACATTTTTTTGGTTCTTTGTGCTTACCTGATGCCGAATATTGGTCAGTTTGTCAATAAAATTTGTTAACGTTGTTATTATTGTTATAATATTATTCAGAAAACGTAAGAGAACATTAACCCAGAAATAAATTATTTTGAGGATTTCACTTTTTTCATGTTGATGATGATGCTGATAATGATGGTAATGAATACATTTTGAGAATAACGATATAGAATACGTTTGATAGCTCTTTTTAAACACTTCACGAACCTCACATTAGGTGAAGTAATTGACCACATATTGGTATAAACTTACCTGCAATCTGTTCTTCAGTTAGCTGGTCAGCCTGAAGAAGAGAAAATCAAGTGACAACATGAATCTGCAAATCAAAATAATGTGAACACAAAGGCTCATATATTCGAAGGCAACTGTAATTAACTCGACATATCTCGTTGCTGTAATTGCAAAAATTGAATGGACGATTGGAGTAATGTAGGATTCAGTGAATGAGGAAATGACTAAAGGAGGTAAAGACGATAGAAGAAGAAGATTGAACTAAGTACGGAGGCGCCCTGATGATCAACCAAACCCTTTATTCTACACGCTTTCCAATCCGTCTTGTATGTTTCCTGGGAGGCCGAGAATGTTCCTGTCTGTTCTAGGGTCTGTTGGGGATAATAATAGTTACAAAGTGTATAAAATATGCTGTAGGTAATTGCTATTACTCTTCTTCGCGTAAGTCCTACACCTTCCGTCACAGAATAAACAAACCCCAACTCTTTAAGCCTCCCCCCCCCCACCCACCCCAATGTTTATTCTGCTTTCCTAGACGTGAAGAGAGTTGTGAAGGAGAGAGTGAAGGGTGCAGAAGGAGGAGTGGGGGAGTGGGGGGGGGGGGGTAGTGAGATACATAAGTACCAGAACAAAAGACGTCCGCTGGCAAGACACTGATACTGAAAATGGTATAGGTTTAACGCCCCCTATCAACACTGTTAGGTTATTTGAGAGGTGGGGCCTCCGAGTTTAACATCCTTCTTCGAAAGTACCAAGCAAAGTGGAAAATTCGTGTAAAGTGACTTTCCCAAGGACACAACGTCGGACCGAGCTAAGGCTCGAGCCCCCGAACCCGCAATCTCAAAATGACGAGTCCGGTAGTCTATCCACTGTACTGATACTGACGTTTCTGGTGTTATGGCTTAGCCTTACACACAAATTATACAAGCTTGATTCCCGAGTGGGTATTTTTATTTACTTGATATCTCAATATTTAAAAAAAAAATTAAAATAATAAATTACACTTTTATTTGTCCCAGAAGGGCAGTTTGGTTTACATCGCAAACATACATATTATACAACAATAAATACATAAATATAAATATGTAAAAACATAAATACATGCATAAATACTTACATAAATACACAATATTACACGAATACAGAACAATTTACAACCATGCCACTGTCGGTCGCCCCTGCGCAGCGCCCTGCATTTTGAGCTAGGGTGTCGTGCCTTGCTCAAGGACACACCCCAGTGACCACCCATTTCTGAAGGGAAGCTGACCCCCCCCCCCCCCCCACCCTTAACTCTCAGCCAACTCTGACAGCAAGGGCCGATGAGCAGCCCGTCTCCTAAATGAGCAGTGTGAACCGATGTGACAATACCATAGTATAGATGGCTCAAGTTATAAAGGTCACATTCGTTTTGACAAAAGCTCACAGTACAAAGTTCTCTAGATGAACGCTCACAAGCCACAAGATAGAATGTCGGTGTCCATAACAGGAGAAATTGCTCACCGTTGGGATGTCATCGGTTCTGCTCAGGAAAGGCACTGAGCAAAAATACCGACCAAAAGCGTGAGAGACGAACGTAAAAGCACAAGTAAAATATTAATTCTCCGCCATCTTCCCGAAAAACCTCCCATTAGTGATTACTACTGACTGAAACAGTTCTACGTCTTTAAAAAAAACACCTCAATTTATATTATTTGGGACGCGAGCTGCTTATAATGAATGGGATACAGTAATAATAATAATAATAATAATAATAATAATAATAATAATAATAATAATAATAATAATAATATTAATAATAATAATAATAATAATAATAATAATAATAATAATAATAATATTAATAATAATACTAATACTAATACTAATACTAATACTACTAATAATAATACAGAGATTTCCAATCAAACAGACTTTCGAACCCGGGAATCGAACCTACACCGTTCATTAAATGCGGCTGGGGAGAACCGTACAATTACACCAGAGACACCGGTAAGCTTTCTCTCCTAGCGGTGTCTGTCCCGAACGTGTTGGGTCACAACAATATGTGAGGCATCATGGCGAAATCAGGTGCTCGTCAAAATAAAGAAATTGAAGAAAAAGGCATTTTCCAGTCAGTTTGGAATTTTAAAAATGGAATTGTTATTTTTTGGCTTAACACCAATGTTGTCCAATTAAGAACACATTTTTGGGGTGGATTTTTGTGAAAAACGTTTATGAAAGGCACAGAAAATGCAAAATTTCTGTTTCCACGGACAATCAAGCTGTGGAAATAACCAAACTTTGGCGGCCATTTTCTCGCCAAGTCTACCTTTGAAACCAAGCGACCCCACTTTCTTCAATCTCAAATATCTTGACTTCTATTCAAGATAGATGGGCATTTTATTTCGCCGATACCAAAACAATTGAACAAGTTTTCAGATGATACCAATAACTCCACATGCCCAAAAATGGAAGAGCACTGGATCCCACCACGTCGTGACACATATCGATTTATTTTGTTTTTGATAGGTTTCAAAACACATCTTAACAATTCCACTTGCTACATAATGATGTGGGGGTACAACCTATCCTACGGCTGAGTAATATCACCAATGAGCACCTGTGCGCTGCACGCATGTTATCCCCACTCGTACTTTGGTCTTTGTCTTCCTTCTTCTTTTTCACACGGGAGAAACAAAACGAGAGTTCTTCTTATTTATAAAGTACATTAAGTTATTCGTATCTCATGAAACTATTAGTCAGTACTGTTCGATTGGAAAATACAGAAAATTGAAGACAGATTTCTTTTTTCTGTGTGTGTGTGTGTGTGAAAAAGCAGAATCATAAGAAACTATCGTAGAAGAAGGTGAAAACATCAGCAAAAATCACTCATTACTTTGTTGTGCCTTGAACTTTGAAGATTCTATTTCTATCTACTTACCATGATTGATTATTAAAAGTCGATGTGGTTCCGAGGACACCCAAACCAGATCAAAAAGAATTTGCTCCGGCTTTCCTAAACCCAGAGAATGAAAACCTGTTGCGCTTGGTAGTTGCTGTATAAATGAACGATAAAATAATTCGCATAAAAGAGTTCGGCTGGAGAAAATGACAGTGTTGGCGACACAAACCAACAACCACGGGAAGGGGAAAGGAGCAAGTAGAGGAGAAAAACATGTGCAAAGGGCCATGTGGAAAGGGTGGGGGTGGGAGGGGGGGGGAGGGGTCCTGTAAGAACTTGTGTATAGGATTTTATTGGGTCAGGTTAAAATCAATAAATAGGACAGCACATTGCTGCAGTTGAATCCGCTGAGCATGAATATTGAAAGGTCTGGAAAACTTGGTGCAGTGGTCCTGGAGAAAGGAGGGGCGCTGAAAGAACTGTTTTGATATCTGATTGTTATTCTGATTTGTTTTAGTATAGTATTCTTGCATACACCAAGCTCATCCTTTCTGAAATAAATAGATAGATAGATAGATAGATAGATAGATAGATAGATAGATAGATAGATAGATA